CCCACCCAACGGGTGAAGAAAACAATAAAAAAGGGAAAAAAAAAAAAAAAAAGGCTTGGTCGTCCGCCCCCGGGGGGGGGGCGGGGGGGGGGGGGGGGGGGGGCCGCCCCCCCCCCCCCCCCCCCCGAGATGACCTGCGGTTTTCTAATACAACTGGTATTCTGCAAAAAAAAAAAAAAAAAAAACTCTGTGGTTTATTGGTGTTGAAGTAGAGCAAGAGACGAGTGCACCCCCTCCTAAAAAAATCCTGGATCCACCCCTGGTTCATATCGTCAAATGTCACCAAAAAATGGATGTTAGAAAATAACCATCAAAATCACATCAAAACTATGAAATGAATTAAGTTATTTGTTATTTGTACTTGATAATCTTCTGATGGGGGATCCTTGCAGTCATCTATATTTACAACTTAATTTAAACATCATTATCTATAAATTCCATGAATGCTCATTTTTGACCTTGGTAATCAAACTTGAAAAAAAGTAAATTTTGTCTCAAAGTCTCCGATTTTAGTCTTGTAGCTCTCGACTGTATCGCAAATGTCTCCATCAGAAATAAACGCTCAGTGTTGTCACGTGAACTAGTCACGTGATAACAACTGATTAAAAATCGCGGGAAATCAAGGAGGCCATCCATATCAGACGCTAACGTCCAACCCTAAATAGAGATGGACTTCTCCCGATTTTTAACCATTAAATGTTACGCGACGAATTAAGTTCACGTGATAGCACTGAGCATTTACTGCTGATGAAGACTGTGCAATACAGTCGAAAGCTACTAAAATCTGAGACTTTGCGACCAGAATTTATTTTTTCAAATCATTGTCTGTGACTCAGCTAGACCCCACTGACTACAGTGTAGATGAGTACGATTGAAAGCCGTAATGCATTTCAGTTGCCCTTCAGTCACCAAAAAGGGAATAAAGTTTAGTTGACACAGAAATAAAAATAGTGTTTTAGGGTGGTTCATAAACTAAAAACAATATTTCAACTTGGGTGTATATATTTCAGCATTTCACCTTTGATATAAACTATTTCCAGTAGTTACTACAAAACTGGTATTAAACCAGCAAGAAAAAAATGCTAAATTGACCTTCAACAAGTTATAACTCAAAACGAGTTGAGTGACCCGCCTTAATATTCTATACGATCTATAATATTCTTAAGAACATGTTACATAATAATGTAACGATGCACTTTTTTGTTCCAAACAGCTCTTTTCAAGACTCACACGATTATAGAATATGATGCAACGGGTTCAAATCATCAAGTTGTCATATTGGAAAACAAACATGATGGGAACGTAGTAGCAATAAATAAAGATGAAGATACTGTCATTGCAAAGGTCAATAACATTTCTTTAATCAGCAGCTCAAAACCCACCTGTATCGAAGTCAACAGTTTCTGGCACCGTACAAGCGACTTATTGACGGAATCAAGCAAAACTAACTACGAGAGAACGACTGGACAACTGACAATTTGACTAACAATAAACGACTGTTTAACTGTGACAATAGACGGATCGAAACGCACCAATAACATTACGAGTTTTCATAGCCAATAACATCACGGCTTAACCGACAGACGACCAATAACATCGCGACTTAATTGACCAATCATGTCTATAACCAGCGATTAATACCATCAACTGACGTGATAAAACTCACTTTGACTCTGAGGATGACTACCGTACAGGTGATGGAAACGTCAGTCACGGTCAACAACAACAGTCCTATTCAGGACTATGTTCACCCGGACGATCATACTCAACCTACTTAGATTTAGCTGTCACTTTGTACAAATTTTTAAAGCTTTTGTGTTCTAGGGTAAACTCTGGTGTTAAACCAAAATGCGTGCCGTTTGCGCTGTTCTATCACTTCTCTGTAACTTACTTTGTCCTTGCTATGTCATCTGCAGTAACTAATCTACCAAACAAAACTTCAATTTTCCATGACTTTCAAGGACCGACAATGAAATTCCATGACTTTCCAGGCCTGGAAAATGAAATTCTTAAATTCCATGACTTTCCAGGTTTTGCCCCTGAAGCAGAAAGAATGCGGTTTGGCTTAAATCATTGAATAATATCATTACTACTGTACGTAACGGTTTAAGGTTTTTCTTTCTTTCTTTTTTTTAACAGGAACTGACCCGCCCTCCAAGCAGTTATGACACACTGGAAGAAGTCAGAGCAGAGCACCCAGAAGCGTTGTTCTACAAGGTGCCAAGAGAGCCAGGGTGCGTAAAATTTTACTTCAAGTCCTACCTTAAAGACAAGCAGAGGATCCTTGGATTTGATGATTACGGCAATGCTTTGGACCCAACTCAAGTTCAGCTCGGCCAGAAGGAAAGTCTGTTCCAAATGATGTAATGTCATTTCCTGCAAAGAATTTTTGTTTATTGTGTAAAAACATTTTGGACTGCGCGCGGCATTGTTTTGGCCAGGAAATTGAGACCTTTCCAGAGTAATGTTGTATAAAAGATCTACCAGAAAAATGTCTATCCAGTGAATAGTGTAATTGGTTTCCCTAATCACCTATCCGCTTGACAGTGATTTATCCGATGGTTAGCACTATCCAGCTTTTGAACAACCGGAACCAAGGCCATGTCGATAATAGACCTTATTCACGATGCCCGCCATCTTTGCATGTGCTTTGGGACTGATTTGGGATAAAAGCAATGCCTAGTGGTATTTCAAGGGGGGGGGGGGGGGGAAAAAAAAAAAATTTTTAAAACACGGAAAAAGGCGGTGGGTTTTTTTTTTTTTTTAAAAAAGGGGGGAGACTTTAAAAGAGACCCAAATATTGACGGTAAGGAGTCGAGAAATGTTCTGTTTTTTTACTATCGGGGAAGAGGGTGTGGGAGGAAGAGTGTTTTATCCGATGGTTAACCCTATACAGCTTTTGAACAACCGGGACCCAGGCCATGGCGATAATAGGCCTTATTCCCGATGGCCGGCATCTTTTCAAGCGGTTTGGGACTGATTTGGGATAAAAGCAAAGCCAAGTGGTATTTCAAGGGGGGGGGACAAGTGAAAACATTTACCAGTACGGTAAATCGCGTTCGAGTTTGTTTATTCTATTAAAACGGGACGACGATTTAATAGTCACGCAAAATGTAACGTTCGAGGTTCGACAAGTTCTACGTCATTACTGTCGCTACTACATTCAAAGAAGTATCAATGAACATCTCCACCCATAATTTGCCATTACCGTCCCTAAGATGAAAGTTCTTCATTTTCTGTTGTCTATGATAAATAAAATCTACTGCGATTTCTTGCATTGGCAAGTTGTTTCCTTGTTTGTATCCCATCAGTCCTTAGGAGCGTGCAAAGATGCATAGATTTGTTTTGTGTGCAAGCTCTCCACTTGAGATAGGAAGCTCCATAGGCGAGAGATTTCTAAATTTACGATAAAAAATCCCAAAAATATCCTAACCTTAGACTTTCACAAAATCCTTCGTAGCCGCGTGATTTTTTTTGTCGCGAACGACTTCTAAACAAAATAAAACAATCATTTTTTTTTCTCTAAAAACTGGGTGTCCTGTGTGGACACCTAGTTACCCACCAGGGCCCAGTTGTTCGAAAGCCGATTAGCGCTTAACCCGGGTTTCTTTTTCTTATGTTCAAAAGCATTTTCTCCGGTAATTTTCTCTGTAATTTTTAGAACTTCCAACCATCAACTTGTGGACAAAAAGAATTAAAACTAAAATGCTTTTTAAGCTTTCAAATCTGAATTCAAATCTCGCACTAACCCTGGGTTATCTAAACCCAGCTTTGAACAACTGGGCCTTGGCTAAAACATTGGTCTTCACCAGCCTGATCCCTAGGCGATCTCTCTCGCCTCGTTGTCCGCGCGAAGTCTGGGAAAGAGCGGGCGAGTTCTCGGCGTGTATCTCTCGGTGACGCCACAGCTCACGTTACAGTCCAGGATTGACCGAGCAGAGAACGCATAGGAACTAGGCTGGGTCTTCACTATTTACTGGGCCTGACTAGAGAGAAACAACAACACTTATACCAGAGTTCCAGATGAAATGGAAAAGTAGAAAAGGACGTTAAATCTTACTGCGCTTTTCACAAACATGCGAATTCTCAGGTTCAAAAGCCAACTGACAATTGCGTTTTTCACTGCCGTCAATCATCTTAACGAACCTCTTTAATAGGAAACAAAACTTTACTTTAACGGGTTCAAAAGGTCATGGTTTGTGATTTGTGATTGGTGGATTTCGATCCGTTTTGTGTGTTTCTGTGTTTCAAGGTTCGTTGCTTGTGATCGTAATTATGATTGACGGCAGCGAAAAACGCAATTGTGAAGGCGGCTTTTGAACTTTAGAGTTCGCATGTTTGTGAAAAGCGTAGTAATATATTAGGGTACAAGAACGGTTTTGCAGTCATAAATTATCAATAGTTATTTGAATTGAGAGTAACTGAAAAAAAGGTAAGTGTAAATGATTTATTTTAAGACAAACGATTGAAACGGATAGAATCTATCAGGAAATTGAGTGATTTTAATTTTCAGTGGACAAAAAACTTGTACCAGAATAATTTAAAGCATATTACATTCTTTTCTACATTTTCAAGGGCTAAAGATGTGATTTGTCATCTGTAAAAACACCAAAGAAAATTTCTTATGGGAGCCTGAGAAAATAAATGTCAAATTTCACAAAATGACATCTTACACATAATAATAATAATAATAATAATGGCATTTATATAGCGCTTATACATCGCTGTCCTAAGCACATGAACTTTTCAGAATTTTACCTGTGTTTTCACAATTCTTGTAAAATCTGACATTTATTTTCTCGCGCCCTCATACGAAATTTTCTTTGGTGTTATTACGGATGACTAATTACAACTTTAACCCTTGAAAACTGTAAAAAAGAATGCTGTATTTTTTTAAATTATTCTGGTACAAGGTTTTTGTGCAGTGAAAATTAAAATTACTCAATTTCCTGGTGGATTCGGTCTTAATTCATATTATTTTGGTGAGTTCACCTTCATTGATACTCCAAGGGTATAATTTGTAGATCTTTTTTGATATTAAATTGTAAACTATTATATAGTGTTTCGTTTTAAAGACAAAGCTAACCTTTGTTTAATAATCTTAGCTTGTTACTGATTTACTCAGAGAGATGCAAAATAATAATTATTTTTCTGCATTATTGTCAGAAATAATCAGTGTTAGCTCAATTATTGTCTATTAAGTATTTCTTTTACTTTTTTAAAGTTATTTATCATGTACATAAGTAAACTGGGTTTCTTTTTGTCTTAAATCAATACGAGTTAAATAAATTCATTCGACACGATATATTCCACAGTCCATACTTGGTATCTATCAGCAGCTTAATACTTTGGGGCAAGGAAACTTAAAGCTACCTTGTGATAAAGTAATTGAGATCGCTTATGCGAGCTCCCAGAAAAAAAAGCTTTCCCTATGTTAAATATCACCAATTACCAATTGCATTTAAACAATATTATTGCGGCGTATCGTAAAATTCCGAAAATAAGCCCCTCCAAATATAAGCCGCCCCGGGGGCTTGTACTCGGAAAATTGCCCTCAAGTACAAAGTAAAACAAAGCAAAAACGACAAATTTACTTCCAACTATATGGTTAGCCCATTCGATTGTGAAACGCAAATTTCCCTCTGAAGATAAGCCCCTCCGAAAATAAGCCCCTCAAAAAGGGCCTTTGAAAAATATAAGCCCCGGGGCTTATTTTCGGAATTTACGGTATTTTTTTAAAAAAACACTTTTCACTTACGAAATTCAATTCGCGTATGTACAAGTCAAAGAACTATTTTGCGTTAATGAGTCATTGAGTCATAATTATGGACAAGAACTTTTTAGATTTAAAGCGTAAAATTACTATTGGATATTGCAGGATTATACAAGCACTACGCTAGTTTTTGACATAAGAGCAGTTGTTCATGTTTTTGAATGTCAGGTTGTAGTAGACTACGAGTAGTCCCCATTGTCCCTCAGGAACTCTAGCGCGCGTGATTTCTCTCTCCCCGCCGCGTCTCGCCTTTCTTGCGTGGGGTGATTTTCACGCGTGCTCGCGTTTGGCTCCCCTACTGTCCCTGAGGAAAAATTACGACTACTCGTAGTCTAGTCAGGTTATGATCAGACTATATCGGATAGCTTTTGCGCGGGCACGAAAATCGTACCGGACTGGGTCTCGGTTCGCAATAAACACGGTGATTTCGTTGCGAAGCTGTGCCGTGCCGCACGGATCTTTAAAGTGGAGAGTTACTTCTTAGATAGGTTTTTTATACTACAGATGGTTTTCACAGTGGCGTCACCAAATTGTAAAGTCAAAATAGCGAGGTTTTACGAATTCTTATTTACACTAGGTTAAAGATAAACAAAAAGTAAATCTTTGTACAAGAGGTTTTACGAATTCTTATTTACACTAGGTTAAAGATAAACAAAAAGTAAATCTTTGTACACGTTCCCATTCCCTTAACATGTTTCATTTCGAAAATACAGCAATTTGAACTACCGAGTTTTCTGAGTGCGTGACACCAAAATAGGAATGCTGTCTCGTTGAAAAAAAAGTCCCCCCTCTTGATTTTCAGCAGTATAACCATTTCAAGTATTTGAAGATATGTTTATTCGTACGTATGCTAGTTCTCGAGTGAAAAAGAAAGAGCTATTATAGAAATAGGGAACTTCACATGTTTTTGTTGATTTCCGGCGGCCATATTTTGGTACACCAAAACGGTGCACCAATATGGCGTCTCCATACAAATCTCTACAAAGGTGCGTGAAACGTTTCGACAAATAACTCAGAAACTGTGGGCCACAAAGACCTGAGACTTGGACAAATTGTTTATATATTAGTCTTTTATAACATTTCATTTTCTTGGCTTCTTCCACTGGACGGTTTCCAATTTATTTTTTCGTTGCGTGACAGTGAAAACGATCTATACCAAACAGCTTTAGTGTCGGCACGAAAAGATATAGTGTCAACTAGCCTCAAAATCATAATTAGCAGCTGGTGTCTAATACCCCACTGATACACTGCAGGGGAAAGGTGCAAGAGAATGTGCGTAAAAATGACATGTCTACATGAAACGTGCTGGCTCATCATCATCTCGACATCTTGTTGACGCAATTCAGTCAACTTTTCACCAAACAAGGCGGAAAACTTTCACCTTACTGACAAATTCCGGAAGAGGATATCATTATCAAAGTCACTTCCACTTTACAGTCCTTTCCAATTTCAATTTCGAACAGGAATTCGCAATACTTTTGTGGATCAGATCCAAGTAAATTTAATTCTAGGCCATACTGCCAATTGTTGGTTTTCCCTTGACGTCACTATACTACCGAGATTTTACTTTCACGATGTATCTGAGCAGCTGAAAACAAATTTTCATACAAGTTTTCGCTTCAAAAGGGTCCTTGGCTTTGCAATAGAGTACGCTTGAATTTCTAAGCTTTTGCGTGACACAGCATTTAAATGACGGCCAAGAGAGTTGTCATGTAGATTTTAAAAAATGACTTATTTCAGGGAATTTTGCTATCTAAACAGTTTATGTATTTAAAAAAAGTATTACTTTCATGTTTATGAGTTCCTCGAAGAATAAATTCACGCTTTTTAGCAAAACTCGGTAACAGATGTTTCTGTTGGTTTCCGTCCGCCATGTTGGTGCTCATCCGGATGAGCACCAGCATGGCGTCTTCATACAAATCTCTATAAATTTGGGTAAAACATTTCTTTGGATATCTCATATACGAAATATTCCTCTGACCTGAATCTTGGCGAGGGTCTTATTTTATATTTACCTCCTCTCAGTTCTCAGATTCTGGACTTTATTCAACGGTTTTGATTTTTATTTTGATCTATTTTGAATAGCGTGACACTGAAAACCAGCAATACCTGCGTTGTTCCAACATATTAAAAATAACAGACAAAACAGTAATGCTACACTCGAGAAATTCCAATCGATGTATACTAAGTATACATGAGCGTACGAGTGTATATGAGCTATTCCCTGCAGAAGGTTTTTTAGTTTGACAAAAAGAGGATCTTCAGAAACAGTAAAAATTCAGTACTGGAAAAGACTGTTTTCGATGTATAATAACTAGGCTTTAGAACCTATTCGCGTTGTCCTACAGAAT